TTTTTTATTTTCGTAAATGCTGTATACGACTGTAATGGCGGCACAACATACTGTATAAAAATGTATTTGTTAAAACACTGTATATTTCTCTATGTACGGACAACGGCACACCAGACTACACATTTTTGTTCGAAAATCGCCTCCAGTTCAACGGAACAAGATACGTCAATAAGTAGCTTGATGTGCTGGCGTGTGTACGTGCCGATGGCGTATCTAAGTAAATAAATAAATCTGGAGTGTATAATAGGGCTTTCAGTCTCGCTGCATTTCTGCGTCCCGGGAAATAATTATCGAGACCTGGTTCGGTCTCGAAATCCCGGTATAACCAGACTGTTTCAAAAGCAGGTTTCCATACTTTTGAGTTAGGCATTTAGGCAGTCAAAACATGGTGTTTTAATTAAGTTCTTAATTAACTCAAATTATAAAATAAGAAAATATTTAAGAAAGTTATTTTTTAATTTTTAACGTAAGAAACAAAGGGCGTTTAATACACTTTCACATAGAGAGGACCTGATTTGTTATTAACTTTCTTCAATCTCCTCGCATTATACTTAAAGACTTTAGGGTATTGTTATATATACAACAGTTTTTTTGTATATTTTTAATACTTTTGAATTAAGTTTTTTTTATTGTGAAGCCCCACCCTAGGGAAACCCTGTGTCGCGGGTGCCATGGACATACACATCGACAACCATAAATTACACCCAAACGCACGAGAGAAATAAATGTACGACATACAAATATTTCTCCCGGCCCGGGACCTCTGCGTGACAGGCCAGCAAGGTTCGTTCAACTGTTCGGCCACGGAGGTAGTTTATTAAGTGATTTAAGTCTCAAAAGTGTCGACATTCCTGAAACTGAAAACATCAGTCTCGAGAGATATATGCCTGTGGTCTCGAGTCTCGGAAATGTCAAAAATTTGTTCAGACTCCAAATTTTCGACACCGTAACTCCCGGGTTCAAAGCCCTAGTGCATAGTGAAAGGTATAAGGGGGCTTGTAAAGAAAGATTGGTGAATATGACTGAAACAAGAGAGGTTTGCCTAGATAGTGCAAAGTGGTGATCATTTACTCCAACGGGAATCTACAGACATAAAACCACATATTTTTATATGTAACATGATACATATGGGTATGTGTATAGATAATTTTGTCCAATATCAATTGTCTTAATTAATATTAGATTAGATACTTTGTATTCAGGCTTAGTCTATAATTACTAAGGACTATATTATTATGTCGAGAGACAAACGATTTAATTGCAGGATTTTGGGTCTACGTAGAGAGAGATTGGAATTGGAACAATGAAGACATATTCTCTAACAAAATTGATTCTATAGCCTATCTTAATTAACATTAGGTACTAGGTAGGTATTAATTTTTTTGTGGTTTCAAGTTGTGTTACGTCCCACTGACGAAGGTTTAGGCTATATAATCCGCCACCCTGGCCTAATACGGGTTGGGGACTTCATACGTTTTTCTGAGGGTTGTCTCGACGCGCAGAATTCATCACGATGTTTTCCTTCATCGAAAAGCTCATGAAACTCCGAGAAACTCAGAGGTGGGAGCCCGGATATATTTAATCATATATAATTCCTATAATTCGAAAAAAAATCAATATGATCTCATAGCCGTATTAAGTACTTATAAACAAAATGTATGACAGGTTTCATACTTCCTCGAAGCACTTTTTTACACTTTGATGTATAAGAGCATTTTAATCTAAACATTTATTTTAAAATGTTTACCGAACTACTTATTTCTTTTTATACTGCAAACTAACGTGTAAATTTTGAAAGTGTAAACAGGATGTGCAATACGGGTGTAACATTTGTATTTATGTTTGGTTTGGTAGGTTCTCAATCCATTTTTTTGTAAGTATTCTCAATCTCAATCTATTTTTATTGTCAACCGATTTTGATCATTCTTTTTTTGTTGGAAAGAGGGTAAATTTGAAGAAAATCCGGTTTCGCGCACATTCCGGTAACAGATGTCAATAAAATTTGGCAAATATATGTAATTCCACGAACTTTTGAGGTCTGTTTGTAGCACTCTGTACCTACTTAGATTATTTAATTGCATATCACTATGTGTAGTCATCAGCACGGTGGGCATACATATACCTACTTAAGATTTAAGATCATATTATGCCCCTTGAGATAAGATAGGTCCAAAGAGTGAAGTTTTCTTTGCACCTATTAGTTTAGATACCTGCAAGCTTAGAATAATAACGCATAGAAACCTAGTCCGCACACGCTAAGTGAGGCAAATTGAAGCGCGCCCAATGGGCCTACACGAGCGGGCGGGCCTTCAGTGCTCGAGGTCAACTTGCACCGCGAACAGATCAAGAATTTTAACTAAAAATGACGAAATGTGCGAAAAAAGAGTGTAAAAATACATCAAACAAACATAAAATAGATACTAACATGACATTCCACAAGGAAGTAACGCGTTTCAACTTGTATTTTTATATAAATATTCACTAAAACCGAAAATTAACCTACTACTAAAACTAGCCTACATGAATTTGATTTTTGCCTCACTTGTGACAGTTCGTTTGATATGATACTATCATTCTATGCGTTATTATTCTAAGCCTGCAAGACGTTAAGTTATAGGTATAAAGAATGTTATACAAAACACTAAGCTGTATTTACACATGCATACGAGTATGTACGTGAATTGAAATACTACGTAGGTACTTACTGTGTGGCTACAGTGTTATTAACAAAAACATTACGTTTTTGTGAGTGTTATGATTACACGATACATACGTACACATGCGTATACAGCCTGGTAAGAAAGAACGTAATACAATATAGTACAATCCACTTCACGGATGATCAACTAACAAAAACCCAATGTCCAGGTAGCAAAAATCTCGAATAATTTAAAAAATGGCTGGTTTTTGAAGTTACGCTTTTTACTCGAATTAATTTTTATTTTATTTCAATATAATGTTATGTTTTGATTTTGAGTTTCGTAATTATTTACCTGTTAAAGCTGATGACTCTACAGCCAATGCTCAATAAATTAAATATTCAACGAGGAGTTTAATGGCCCGAATGTTTGTAATTGCTATTCTTGCTGTTTGTGTGGTGCACAATGAGTTTCGTCACACTTGCGAGGAAATTAAAAAAAAAAGGAAATTAGATGGACTTAAAAACTTCACAGTTCATTTGTTGCATTTATAAAGTTTCATTAAGAGCGTATAATAAAAAAATCATGTTCGTTCTGAAGCTATATGTACATTAAAAATACCGTCAAGTTATGTTGCAGGTTGTAGTTAGTATTATTTACGATAAGCGTGACGAAAAATAAAAAAAATGTTTGAAAAAACAACCTATAGGTGCGCGAATTAGAACAGGAAAAAATAGTTTCGTTTTAAAAAATGTTTGAAAAAAAAATGGCGGGTTTTTGCAGTTACAGTTTTTACACGAAACAATTTTGAGTTTAAGTTTACATAAGGGTTTCATACTAAATTATACGTTACTTATGGCTCTAAATAATAAAAAATACTAATTTAAAAATATTCCAACAGAAGAAAATGTAGTTTACGACGAATGTAAATATGTCGTGGAATGTTAGTATACCATTCGATTATTGTTGAATTGCTATCTTTTCCATTTGTAACACCCTATACACATACGCAGTTAATTATGTATTCGCCTTACGATTGATTATCAGGGCAAGAAATACCTGCATACCTAATTACATTTTGTTTACGACACGATTTGCGATACTGTACAAAAAATACCATATACACACATGGTTGCTTGGCAAGGACATACTCGTATAAAATAAGTATACGTTCTAAGACGTGCTGCCTTTGCACAGGCCGTTAATTATTGAGTTGATGACAGAAGAAATTTATTAGGAAGGAAAGAAGCGCGAATTATGACTTTATTTTGCCTATCTGTACATTCAAACTTACGCAAACACATTAAGTGTACATTAATGTGTAAGTGCACAAAGACATGGGTAAAACATGTTTTTATATGAAAGTAACTCTATAATGTGACTGGGTATTTAAATAACGAACGTCAAGAATTCATGACGAAATAAGGCAGGTAGAGGTAGATAGTGATTAGGTATGTAGGTAAATTGCAGTTCCTAATATAAAAGATAAAACACTTACCTATGTTACGTAGGTATGAATATTTAGAAATATAAATGTGACAATTTCAAGGTTTTGGTGGGATCCAAAATACAATAGGTACCTACCTCAAAATTATTTGAAAACATCAAAATGTTAACAGCGATGACGGGAGGTTCTTCGTTCCGCTGACGAATTGTTATTTGTAACAGAACGTTGACGACTTGTTGACGACACATATTTGTAGTAAATCGGTCGTTCACCTTCTAAAATCGAGGGAACTGGATATTATACGACGACCAGGACTAGTATTTATAATCAGAATTATTAAAGCATTTTTAGTAATGTATACATAAATAAATAATCGTAACTACTTCAGAATTTCGCATCAATTACAAAAAATTAAAAACGTAGATAAATTGCTTCGCTTTATTGTTTTTGACTCTAAGCCCTTATTTAAAGTTTTATTCACAAGTTTGAATCCCGGTAACCCAGGCGATCGATTTTGATCGTTATACTCACGCAAGATTTATTTTACTGATTTATGTATCAGCTGTATTATGTAGGTAGGTATCTACTCGGGTGGCGGATTTCGTGATGAACACATGCGTGTCATAAAGAAGAGCATACCTACCTAGTCGCTTTTTAAAACATGATTCTTAAAACACTGAAAACCTACTTACTAGAATTATTTAATGGTTTCTTATCCATTATGATGCGACACGTGGACATCATTAGATAAAAAAATTATATTAGTACAAGTATATTTTACAAAGGTATGTATGTTTCCATTCACTGCGCCACACGAGTGAGGGCGTGGGGGCGACATACAGGTTGATCACTTCACTCAATTTCAGTTCGACAACAGCTGTTTCGGCTAAAGCGCGTTTCGGAACGGTGCGCCCGACATATTGAACCAAGCGTAAAAAGAAACGTCATAATCAAACGACAGTTTTGGCGGTCCACTAGTTTTAATGTCGTAAAAATCAAATAAGAATGAATTTTCATCAAAGATAAGTGATAAGTGCGAGTTATTGTGAAAAATTTTGTGGTCTGTGACTCGAAGTAGAGAAACGACTCTGGATTGCAACTGTTGAAGACGCAAATAATTGTTTGTTTGGTAACCTACTTGTGGATTGGCTGTCAAAACGTAGTCAACTTAATTTTCTGTGTTTGAAAATGTTTAAAGACTCTGTTATGTCGATAAGGTGAATAGTTAGGGACGAGGGGAATAAATTGGATGTGACCTCGGATAGTTTCAGACGTGTCTATAACGGCATGACCTCATAAATGAAGGAGTCATATCCTGATGACATTATGCTGTGCTTTGTTCAAGGGTTCGGAGATAGAGAACGTAATAATAGTAAAACACGTGACTTGGAAAGGTCTGAACCAAATGGCACAAGGCTGTCTAAGCGGAGAGAGCAAAGCAAGTTAACAGTTCATATTGAGAATCTGGAATCGGATGCAGCAGCAGAGTTAAGTAGTAAAGATACCACTCCTGATGTTAATGGAGAAACTGTGGAGATTCGACCTAGAAAGTCTCTGTCAATAGTCGGGCGGTCGTTAAGGCTTTCATCTGCGGATCGTTTTCTGAATTGTTTGCCTGAAGTGAAGAGGAGCTTTAGTGACCGGTTTTCAGTTGCCAATGATGCCAATGGGAAGAGGACATCGAAAGGACTCTTGACCATTAGGAAAACCTGGTAATAAATTGTTTTATATGATTATATATTATTCTTTCTACTCATATTGTATACTAAATGGTTAAAAGAGCATCTTTTCATTTACTGGTTATCAGTAAAAATCGAAGTTTTGAAGGTCACTCCACATTGCCCTAGCCATGTACAATAAATACTGACCTATGAAATTCTCAGGTGATAAAATACAGATCAAGCTCATCCAGTCACTAGACCGTTGGTTATCCCAAAAGATGGTCACAGGTTAACATGTTATAATTGAGGAGCATCAGAACAAAAACTGTTAAGTTACATTTTGGCTTTTTCTTTTTTTAACTCCTCACCTTGAGACATAATTGCATCCTTATCCTTCAAAACTGAAACACTGTAATGCTCTTGGCGGCAGAAATGGCTAAGGTGGGCAGAACTTCTGACTTACAGATTTTTTTCTGATCTAACATAATATTGTAATAAATACTGTTATGCAATATTTTTACATCTCTGCTAACAATACAATTAAAGTACTGCAGTACAATTCCATATATTGTCTCACTGTTATATGTATTAGTATTCTTTTCCAAATAATTGGACATTGTTTGTTAGATGATAATGATGCAATTTTAATGAAACTTTAACATAAGTATTTATAGTGCTGGTGTAGCATGATCAACATCAAATTGATCTGCAGGGCTAAAAATGCCGTATTGGCAGAATCATATTATGATTAATTGGCAATTCATATAACAATGACATAACAATTCAACTCTTTGACAGCGTTTTATGGAGGTCTCCATACAAAACTGTCAAATGTGATGAACTGCGTTTTTTGTTTTGTTTGAAAATTCATAATATGAATTGTCAATAATTAAACATATTATGATTAAGTCAGTGCCTTTTTAGGCCCCCTGAGCACTTATTGAAAGTATTTGTAACTTATGTCAAGTAGCATCAAAGGACTATCGATTCAATTCATAGAAAAGCAATTGAAACGGAAATGTCCAATTGATTGCAATGTAAAAGTTAAATAAAAATTCTAAAACACCACAATACAAAACAGTGTACCTTAAAAAGTCAATAAAGTTTGTAACTAACAACTTGTCTAGACCAGTTTAATGAGCCCAAACATGATAGTTCTTATGTAAGTAGATGAGCAGTTGGGTAGAATGTAGACTGTCCTGGTTGCAGTGTCGTATCAACGTTACCCTATTATTGTAGTGTCATTAGATTTCCAAATCCCAAGTTTATTAGATTAATGGAAGTAAATATAAATATTCATGACTAAAGTCCCTGCGGCTACGGCCAACTTTCAGGATTGTAGAGGCATTCTAAGAGGAAACCCCTACTCTGAGTGGAAAAAAGCTGACAATCTTTAAATAGCTGACCAGGTGTTATACAACAGTTTACAACAATACCATTTAAATTAGCCTTCAAATAAATAAAAAAAAAACACTGACATTAGTCCCTTGGGAGCTACAATGCCACAGATAGTAGCATTGTAATATGTAGATAAGTATTTATTCGCATATTTTTTGCATTGGGGGTCAAGAATGGGGATTAAAATTTTTGTGCAAATACAAGTAAAAAGGCTGAGATTAAATGGTATGCATAGATATAACATATCAGTAGTGCTCTCCAGTGGAACACCCTTTTGAACATGCCTCATTCCTGGGAACATGCATGTATAGCGTTTGCACATATTTCAGACAGATAATAAATATTAAAAAAAAACCATTTGTCAGCAGGTGATAATACGAGTTACTATTACTTACCTTAATGAAATATTAACAACAATGACATAAGACATTGAACCACTCTTGTTTCCTGTCGCTGGTAGGCCGTGTCAGTGCCAGGGTCAGCCTGGTTCCAATGTTATTGTAATGACAAGAATAAAATGATGCCTACTTACTCATAGAAAATTGTTCAAAGTATGTTGAGTTTATAGGGGTATAGTGTAAGGCGGGCATTTTTTTTTAGTAGACTATGATTAAACTGGCCAGTTTGTTGACGTTTAAACATTTAATGATACTTTTTAAAAGGCATAAAAAAGAAATTTGACAAAGACTTTTGCGAAAGTTGACTAACAAAGTGAAATTGAAAGTTATGTGTTTTTAAATTTACATAAGCATGATCAATCATTATTGTCTCTACACAACTAAAGGTAGTGAATCTATTTACCAAATCACTCAAAAAGATAACATCGATGCTTCAGAATCACGCAGGTGTTTTCAATGGCCGGGAACACCTGCAACATCTTGTGATAATTTTATGTAAGTGTTTCAATATTATCTTAAATTTTATCAGTAGTGGAATTTTGTTCTTTGTGATTTATCCTGTACTTAAAAAAAAAGATAAAAGCCTATAGCACTGCTATTACAATAGTGCTATTACAATTTCACATATTTTGAGTTACTCAAAATATGTGAAATTTATTATTATATCATTATTGAATGTATAATTTGATTCTCTACACGTCAAAAAAACCGTTGGTGGAATATTGTAAGAAACAATCAAAAGATATCTACTTAACTCAAAACGAGACTCACTTTATGTGAGGTAGTTCTGGTCAAAATAATCCTTATTCAAAAATATGAAATTCTCTATTTTCTTTTTAAATATATTTGGGACATTGTTTAAGTTTCTATAATTAACTATAACATAAACATACATTTTAATGATTTTTGCGGGAAGTGAGTAATTGGTTTTTCGTCGATTCTGAGAAAGTCCACTTTTTGAGTTAATACACTGCCAGCGTAGATTGTTTTGATTAAGTGATTATATATTTATGATTGGAGTATATTAAATTACCAAAAGAATAAATAAGTTTTTAATTTTGTGATTATGTAGATGTAAAACTTTATTTGCAATTATTAGAAAATCGCCAAGACCTTAATTGCAAATATTATCGTTATAATTAGAAATGAAAAGGTTTGTTTGTGTACGTGACGTAAAAATTTATTACGTTATTTGCATAAATACTGGCTACATTTGTAATAGAAAACGTAAACTTTTATTATAGAAATGAATGGTTCCAATTTCGACCAGTCAAAAACACACTTTTGGATCCTAATTCCGTAAGCCATGTGTTCGGAGGTCAGCTGAGCGATTACTTATAATGAAGTTAGGTATTTTGTTTGTGTTATCTACATACATCTCTGTTAAAAGAATTCTTGCGCAGACGCCGTGTCGCAACGTTTGTATGATAGATTCTTTCCATACGCTGTGACCTAGTTTGTGTACGAAAATAGCCGGGCTCATGTTTGTAAGGCGAAAATTGACGAAACTAGATTTTCATATACAATTCTCACTTGTAGTTTTAAGTATAACTTCTTTCTTATAGTATCGTTTCCATATGTTTATGCACGGAAATTGTGTACAATTAATAATACATGTTGAGGTAAGAAAGGTACCTTACGTAAACTAATATATATCATGAATAATGTTATCAGACCCGCAATTAACGTAATTTTACATTGCCATTGTTTAAGCTATTATTTAAAATAATTGACTGTATTAATTTTTTAAACGATTATAATGAATAAGACTGCAATAAAATTCTCTATAAACACATTTAAGTTTAGTAGATAGGCTTTCGCTTAATTTACATTATACTTATTTCGGTCGACTTCTTAATCATTGAAATTTTTTGGTTGAAATTTTTAAGCTGATTATAAGAAATGAACTTGAGTATTGATACGAACTAGCTCTGAGCATGAACAATGTCACAGGATACCCATATTTTTCTGGTAAAAAACCGCAACGTATACAGGAGATGAATGTTATGATGTCATAATAGTTTGAATGACCGGAACGACTTAATTCTATGTGTGTGGGCTACCATGATAATTCATTGTCGTTATGATCAACTTCGATGAGATAAATGCGTACATACTCTCACATAAGATATAGACGTATTTAAAGAATGAGTCAAGTTCAATTTCCTAAGAAGTCAATTAGAGCCATCACAATAATGGGTCCTGCCTTCCATTTAATGTACAAAAAAACATGACTAATCCTCAAATTAGACTAGCCTTTCCACTACCCACTACATGTATAGTCGGGTCATCAGGTCGGGTGACCATGGAACCTGTAAAGAGCCCGAAACTTTGGTTTGTTTGGATAAACAAATAACCTCGATTTATATAATCCAAAATAAGTAGTTTAATTTCCTTTGTAAAATATCCTAACTTACAAATGTCAACTGTTAACTGTGGTTTTTTTTTGATGGCCTCATCGTCATTGCCTCTTTTGGTATAGCCTCGTCTAAATTCGTAAACCTCATACCTCCATTAATGTGAACTTTTGAGTAGGCACAAAAAAATAGGATTACCTACTTGAAATTATTATGTGACCATCGATGATTATACCTTTATTTTTAAAACTAAAAAAGGATCTTGAAATTATATTTTAAACTTTAATTGCCCGATATTGTTCAAAAAAACGTAGTTACGAGGTTTACTAACTTAGCCGACTATATATTATAACACAAAAAAATCTCTTAGTGTAAAATCAGGATTTACCTTTTGCTATTGACTTTGATTGGAACAATTGACTACCATTTTATAAGGAAATGTGTTACGTCCTGCATTTGATGAGATTGGGCAAAACTGGGTGTTGTGATTTTAAGGACGTCTAAACATCAGTGTTATCTGTGTTATGCACTAGGTTTTATGGATGATTTATGAACCTCGTATGTGATTTGAATGTATATTTTCAGGTATAAAAAGTGTGCTGTAAAATATCTCAAGCACATAGCTGCTTTTCAAAAATTGAAGCTTGAACCAATTTAGATCATTTTTATCTTAATTAGATCATTTTTTATCTTATTACATAGATGGACTCGGAATGAGCTAAATTTTATTGTGTCCCCGACTTTTTTATTGTTCACGTGAGCACTTGAGCCTGTATAAAATACATCTGCTTGAATTTTGGATATTTTGCAGTTGTTTTTAAACCATCTTCCTGATGATTTAGGTGATTTCGAAACAGGCAATTTTATTCTAGCAAGCCATCGATATGTTGTTTGTAGT